TATAGTGTATGTCACGAATGGCATGCGGGTGTCTTGGATTTCCCAACCCAAATTTCATTTACTTTATTTATTAGTCTGTATATGTGTTGCAAAAAATGTCTTTTTTGTTTATTTAAATACTGATTTTTTCCCTTTTAGGCCAGACAATTCTTGCTAAAAGATGATTGATTTAATTTAATTTGTTTTTGCCATTGTGCAGGGTACCTGGACACAAACGACAGCTGAGCTTGACAACAAACACATCCATAGTGTTGAAGCTAGAAAACGAACGAAGATATAATCTGTCTGTCCTGGCATCATCCAACCAAGACCGCTCCCCAGAAACCAGCTGCACTTTCACACCCTACCAAAACAGTACGTGACAGTATTTGTTTCTTCCTTTTTTTGTCAGGTATGTGTTGATTTAATATCTTTATCTGCACTACATGATTAGGTTGTAGATACAGATTTCTCTATGTTGTACATGACAAAAAAGCTAAAGTTGCTACAGTCAGGCATCATTAACACAACCAATAGACATGTGTTGTGTCATATTATGTATATATCTGACACATTGTGCAAAGAATGTGGTTAATTGCCATCAGGATATGTAAACTAATTAAAATACTGAGTTTATAAAGGTATCCAGAGTTAGACTGTTGATAGAATACTGCAGAGATCATCGAATGCACTGCATGTTTACGGGGAGCAGGTGATCCGGTGTTCTGTCGAATTTGTATGCCCCGTCGGATTTGTACACCCGCATACAAATCCAACGGCTAAGCTATCGGACTAGTACCGTATTTTTTGAACCATAAAGCGCACCGGATAAAGTGCAATATCAATGAACAGGTCTATTTTCATACATAAGGCGCACCGGATTATAAGGCGCATTACGCGAAAAACAATCAGGCAGGCCCGGATCCCACTCGCCCCATTATCCGATTCAGTCTCACTGCTGTTACTTAGCTGTTCAGTGATGATTACGGCCTTCGTGAAAGCTCAGACGACATTTTGAGACAGATTCCTTACGATCCATTGGAGATGCCTCCCTGTCTTGTTGAATGTGTGTTGGCCTTCTGCCATTCAATGCTCCCACGCAGCTCGCAATTGAACTTTGAACGCCCAGTTAACACCAATATTTAGCGGTTGGTATTCTTTGGTCAATCCACCTGGAATGATGGTAAGCTCCGAATTAGTTTGCTTCAGTTGGATTTTGACAATAGGTAGTTTTCCGATGGCGTCACGCTACTACCCATAGTTCCGCAAACAGCGTATAGATAGATATTAAATACATAAAAGAACACTGATAATGGTAAATACCGATCTGGGAATGGAGAGATCGCAAGATGAAGTTTTTTGACATAAACCGGATGGGCTTCACCAAGGGAAGCTGACGGAGGATATTTGGACAGAAAAAAGGATGCTATGGCTTTTACGTATTAACCGTGCTAATTTCTACCCAGATCCAAGCAAAAGGCATAACAAAGTCTGTCCTGAACACTTTATTTCTGGTAATTACATTATACTTTTTATTTAATTCATGTGTTCAACGTCAAAATTAAAATATATCCAAATGTACTTTGCATACATGAGAAATGCACACAATGCAAACGTAAATCCTCCATGTAAACCGTTATTCTGATGATGTTCACAAAAGACATACATCCGTACATGCCACTGTGATTTTACATTAACACGCTGTATTAATTGGGTGTTAATAAATACCGAATGATATACGTTGTCTGGCCAACTTTCAATGTCCGCCCGCCTCCACTTAGCTTTGTTGACTTCGTATGGGTCTTTTCCATCCGTTATTTTCGGATACTTGTCCAAGTATCTTGCCTTGGTAATTGTGTCCAGTTGATCGGTATACAACAATTTCGTCTCATCAATCTCCGGCGATTTAATACTCTCGTCTTTTGTTGTCATTATCGATTATTTACGTCTACCTATTCACTTTTGCCGCACAACATGGCCGGCGGCGCGCTGCATCATGGGTAATAACGATTATCGGAAAACCATCTATATCGGTGAGATGGGTGCGCATGGAATCAAAGATAAATAGGAATGGAGATTTGTGGAAAAGGGTAGTGTGACACGGGAGGAAACTATTGTTGTTGTTCGCCCCTCCAGAGTCAGTCACTAATGTCGCTATTTTTCGTTCTGGATGGTCACCGTATTGTTGTTTTGACGCTGTTCCGTGCGGAAGTGCGGATGTTGTTTTGGAGAGAGAGAGAGTGAGTGTGCTTTGCCTGCATCGATAAAAAGGAGAAATAGAAAGAGTTCTTGATCACGGAAAAATCGACAGCCGTGCTTCATCTGCATTGCACCATACATCGACAATACAATACACAACGCAGAGTCTCCGGGTGTTGGAAGGCACGACGCGACGTTGCATGGATTTGGGTTACATCATGTGTGATGCGCTGTGTGGTTTGGCTTTATAAAATCGGTTCGAGGTCAGTCAGCACAACCAGAATTAATACATAAGGCGCATCAGGTTATAACGCGCACTTAAAGATTTGTACGCCCATATACTGATTCTTTCTTTTGTGGGCATGCGCAGTACGCAAAGCATACAACTTTGACAGGGAATACAAATTCGACAGGTCTGGTAATATTTATTTGTTGTTCTCTGTAGAATACTGGTGTGGCTGGCACCAGTATTCTGCACACAATCCCCTGATTAATCGTAATCTTTACATATATTAGTAATCCTTACATATATTACATAAATATGCTCAAATTGGCCAATAGTATTGGTTGGCCGGTATACCTGCACCAGATATATTTAATGTACATTAATAACTTTACCTTTTAGTTGAAACAATTCTATGTAGTATTCTAGTAATTTCAAGTTGAAAAGCATGGAAATGACTTTTTTTGTATTGAAAAAAGATCTGGAAATGACTTTTTTTGTATTGAAAAATACAAAAAAACAGAACTATGGATTTTGTGCATTGTTGCACCCCTAATAAATATATGCCGGTAAAACTATTTGTGAAACTTGCTCCAGCTACAAAAAAAGAAATAAAATGTTGCTGTCCTTCTTGTTTTGACTAGCAAGATTAGGTCCTCCTATCCTGTCACTTACCGGATGTGGTGACTGCCTCCAACTTGCCATTTCCTTGCCAGAGGCCGATAACAACTCAGGAATTGTTGATATCCAGAAATTCTACAGTGCTCGATTCCGAATTTTGTGCAAACGCGGCAAAGATATGGTGGTAAATATTTTTTGTCAGCTTTATCTATTTTGAGGGGTAGGGAGTGGTTTTAAAAAAGTACGGCTGTTCATTTGAGAGTTGTAAAACTGCCGTGACAATAATATGTGGCATATGTGCCAAAGTGTCTTTTTACTGAGTAGGGCCAACATTGTGTAAAATTCGGTTGTGTCTGATTGAATTCCTTGCACATAACTAATCTACGTAATTTCCAGACTATTGAGCACATGTGAATATAAGCTGCCCCTACTAAATTTAAAAAGAAAAAAAATAATGTCTAACACTTATCTATAAGCCGCAGGTGTCCACGTTGTAACATGGGATATTTACACAGAAAGATTTTTTTTTTCACTTTTAATTAATTTTTTTTTTCCCCAAACCCGTTTGCTCTTCCCTGCTTAGGCCCCGACCGTAGTTGAAATGCACAGGGGAGACTTAGTGATCTGCTCCAGGGTCGAAGCTAACGTTAGATCCGTGGCTAACTTCCTTCACTTTGTGCTTGTCTGCAGCAGAGGTAAACAGAAGGAGTGAAGTTGGGGGTCTTTATTATCAGCCACACCGAGCCCAGCAGTACATAAACAGAGTTTTAACAGCTCCTGTATAACCAACTCACGCTTCAACATGACAGAGCTCAAACTGCTCTTAACTTTTGCTACCGTTCTCACTCGCGTGCCCCACCAGTGTAACACACAGTAGCCTACCAGAAGTCATTGATCGCTTGCGGTCGCTTTGCTAGCCAAATTGTTTGCTAGCATCATTGTTTAAGCCATGGGGTTCAAAGCGTGTGAAAAAACAGTAGAGGCTTATAGTCCGGAAATTACGGTAGTTATGTCCAAGGAAGTTAACTAATGTAGTTAAGTAGTGAAGTCATTTTAATTATTTTTCTCTTTTGTGTTCACCCCAAAGATTGACTATGTAACAAAGAAAAGGAATAACACACTTCGTAACTTGAACCAAGGTGTGGAATACTGTGTGCAAGTGCATATAGAGACGACTCTTAACAAAAACACAGAGCCGTCTGCATGGACCTGCGTCTTCACCAGCTTTGTGAAGTCACGGAAAGGTAAGCAGCACTGTCATTGATAATTATACACTGATATTTTTACCGGAGTACACATCACACATTAGGGTCCACACATACCGAGCTGTTACTGTTGTGATGGGTTCATTTTCCTTTTGGATTAATGAGCAACAACCATAATCGATCAGAATTGACGACGCCTCAAAAAATTGAGCTCCGAAACAAGTGAGGACTGAAAATATCAAGTAAATCATGGAGGTTCATTAAAGGAAGCATCTTCTAAAGCAGGGGTCAGGGGTCAATGTGATGCCCCGGGGCACCTGTTAGCTCATATGGACTACCTAAGGTGCCCATGGGGTATGTTCTAAAAATAAAACTATTTAGAAATTGTACTTCTAGATCAGTTACACCAGTGATTCCCAACCACTGTGCCGTGGCACGCTTAGTGTGCCGTGAGCGATCATTAGGTGTGCTGTGGAAAATTATCCGATTTCACTGTGCTTCCCAAATTCATTAGTCCCAAAACTATTATTTATTTATTGCATATTATTTTTCTCTGCTTGTCAAAGCATTAAAAGGCACAACAATTAAATTCTTATCTGCTAGGTGGCAGCAGATGGCTATGAAAAGAAAATAAATAATAAGAGTTGTTATAATAAGATAGAAAAATAATCAGAGTTGTTGAAGAAGATCTGTGTTTGTGTCTTTCTTCAATTCCTGCAAGTATATCAATGTCTCAACTAAATAGATTGAGATTTTCCTTTCTTCAATTCCTGCAAGTGTATCAACGTCTCAACTAAACAGATTGAGATTTAATTTTATTTAATTATCAGGTCATTTAAACTAGAACATTATATTTCATTACATATACTTTTTGCGAGATGAGTTTGAAAACACTGAGTTATACTAGCAACGATAGTCAAGTGACAGTCAAAAGTCAAAAAACGACTTTATGTCCCAGAACTTTACAGAACAGCATTAGTTTTCTTTTTGAGAATTATTATTATTATTTAACAAACAAGTAGCTCTTTGTATTACTAAGAACCCTTGAAGTAGCTCTCAGTTTCAAAAAAGTTGGTGACCCCTGGTCTAAAGGCTCGTGTGTGTGTAGCTCATAACGTTGTCCTGGGAATGACAGAAGGCATGTCTCTCAATTTAAGACATTACTTTTAAGTTCAAGGTAGAAGGAAATTAAACATGTCCGTTCAATGACAGTGTAATATGAATGCAGTGTATAAAGCCCCAGGCTGGACCCCAGTGCTGAATGTGCATGACCGTCATAGCCTAATAATTGCTAATGTAATGGATATGCAGTAGTCCCAAAGGCCTGCTGCTGCAAATAAAATACTAGCTGCGACAGACATGGGGGATGAATAAACACAGGCAATAAAAAAATATCTATATCCCTTTGATGCATGACCCATATACTGAGTTAAAAAAATGTTACTAAGTGTTTTTATGTGTTTTAGACATACAAATAAGAACTGATTTGGTTCTGTTTTTATACACCAAATTTTCTTTTTGAATGTTGACACAATTATTCTGCAGTTGCAAAGGCTGACCACTGTATGGCAGTGTTGGGTGATTCTCAGGCGTCCACTGTAGAGGCTTATATGCAACACTGCCATCAAACACCTATTCTTATCATAGAAAATGACATTTTAATAGCTGTCCACTGTAGTGACCGTCATGCATGAAAGGGATATTGATGTAGCATAAAGATAAATAACAGTAGGTCAATGTTTGTGTTTGACACCTGTTTTTCATTTGTGACTAATCCAAATGATGATATTTCTATTATGAAGAAAAAAGTGCAAAAGTGCGAAAGTACATACTGTATAACTCAATATTTGGCTTCATAGCATTCGTGGAGAACATGTCTAGAGTTGCATTTAAAACTTGAAATTGTCCAGGTGCTTTTTTTAAAAATTGACACAGTGGATGGAAGATGGAATTGTTAGATATAGTGTTTAGCGTCCATCATCCCTTGTTAAAATATTTTACAAATTTGAATCAAATTAATCATCACATAATAAAAATCAATCAAATTCATTTGACAGTTATGTGTCTGGATGGAGGAAGTGAATGCTGATAACCCTGTTGTTCAAATCACGTCATGTTTGTGTGTTTAGATTCTGTTGTTATAGGTACAACTGCTGGCGTTCTGATTTCAGTGCTGGGTTTCCTGACAGCCTGTGTTCTCTGTCTCCACTACTTGGGATTCCTTTGCAAACTGAGGTCTCTGCCCACATCACTTGTAAGGCATCTTTTCATTTAAGTGGTACAGCGTAAAACTTGGCCCAATTTCTAACCTGACAAAAGAAAATTATTTTAATAAAATGGAAATAAATGCAGTGAATAAGAATACTAGAAAATCACAAACAAAAACATAACAAAATTAATATTTGCTTCATCACCATTGTCTTCAACAGGTCCAGGTCTTTAAAGTACATTTTTTACAACTTGAAAAAAAACCTGTTTGGAGGGGATTTTAGACATCTTCCAGTACTATCTACTGATCTCATGTGGATAAGGACAGACAGAAAGACAAATGTGTGCCATGCCATTACTTCCAGGACTTCCTATTCTGCTTTTTTGTGTGTGGCAGTGACTTTACGTTTTGGGGTCATTATGTTGCTACAGAATATATATATCTGGGGGTCGGTGCCGGTCCTTAGGTCATTTGGTACCGTGCCTCTTTTCAGACTCTGATACTAACAGAATAAAGTCTAAAAGATGTTTTATTTTGAAAATGTAACAATCCTTGATGCAGCGATGGAATGATGGAGCTGTATCACCGGTCCGCAGTAACGGCTTTTTGGTGCAAAAAAGGTTTAGGACCGCTGCTTAAATTGATAATCTTTAGCACTGACTTGGTATATTTGTTCGATCATACACTTGACTATAATCTATATTCTGGACTCAAATTAATTCATGCAGATACAGAGGCAAAAGGAAGGAACACCATAATTGATATGGCCTTACCATTTATGTTTTTCATTTTTGAAAGATTTTGAAAGAACTTAATACATAGTCCCTTCTTCCGTTATTTTTAAATTTAAAGGTACTTAGGTAGCCCAATAGATCTAGGCCTTTGTTTTGAACCAAAATTACAGAACAAGTTAAACAATGACGCTGTGAAGCTAACTTTCTCCTTTTTGACTGTTTGACTTTTTCATTATGTAGACAATTCTGAGCAATGGCTACACCCTTACACCAGAGGGCACCACAGGAGGCATAGTCTTTATAGCTTCAGAGGGGAAGAAACTGATAATTGACAACAAGCAAACACCAGTGCATCCTGTTGCTGCCAATAACTGTGAAGAAGATGAGGACCAAGATGAAGAAGAGGCATTTGGAAACTACGTGGACAGAGACGCACAGCTTTCTTTAAAACAGACTTTGTGGGTGAGCTCAACGGAACTGACGGACACTGTTGATCCTTCTGTGTTAGAGAATTCTCCGAGCTTGAGAGGGAGGCTTGACGCCCAGCATGAGGTGAAGTTTAGATATGAACAAAAGTGTCATGATGAGGCCACCGAAGTGATCCCTGAGAAAGTTACGGGTGAAGTCCTGCATGAAGAGATTCAAGAGGAAGAGACGATGATGAAACAGTCATTTGACATGTTTGACAACACCGATAATGTCGATCTGTTCTCTGTAACCCTGGCTGCACTTAGTGCAGCTGAAGAAGAAAGAAAAGAGGAAGAGAATACACCTGAACCTGTTACAACCGTTTTAGTGCAGTCAACCATTTTAAGCACGACAGATAAAACAGGTGACCGTCCAAGTGTGTCCAGCAAAAATGATGACTTTAGAAAGGACCAGAGGGAAGAAGAGCAGGACCAAACAGAAACCTCTGAGTATAGGTTGCATCGTGAACAGATAGAGGATGATGAAGAAAATGGTGAAGACAGCAACACTTTTTCTGAATATGTTGCACACAGATGATACAATACAAGGTTTTAGTGACTTTTGTGAATATCCAACAATGTAATATAAATTCATGGTTATATACACTTATGTGTATCGTATCAATATGTACATGACATGCTATAAAATATACTTTTTTAACATATATATATATATATTTTACAATAAAAAAAATCAAAACAACAGAATCCTACAAAGTTAGTCGTCCCAAATAATTCACAGGGAGGACATGGAGCTATGTTTTTTTTCTGGTTGCTTTAGGGCAGTGGTTCTTAATTATTTTCTGTCATGGCCCCCCCTTGGGGACGTGGACGGGACGGGGAGGTTTTCATGCACCCCTGTATCCCCCCGACCCACACCACCGTAAATTGAAATACTATTGAGAACCGAACATGCATATACTGTATATAACGTACATTTTTTTGTACAAACCACTGTATGAGTTGCTGCCCCCTAGTGACTGGAGGCTGTTATCATTCATGCATTACAGCAGTGGTAAACTTATGTCCATATGCGTGCCATAATGGAATATGGCACGCATATGAACAAAGCCTCCCCCCCCCCCGCCGCTTATACAGGTGCAGTTAAATAAAAATATCGAAATCAACTTAAACAATGTCATGGAAGCAAATACAGTGGTGCTTCGAGATACGAGCTACCCGAAATACGTGTTAGCAACTTTTTCGAAGATTTTTCTCGTGATACGAAGAAACATCGAGTTGTGAGTGCTCAACCAAGCTCCATTTTTTCCACTCAACACTGTTGCACTGTCTCACTCACTCTCCCTTGCTGGCTTATTTTACCTATTTTTATAACAATAATATAAAATGTTTTCCTAATTATTATTATTTCATATTATCAATATATTTGTTTATATCTATATTTTTGATGTTTAGATGGGGGAGATTTTAATTTAATTTATTAATAGTACATTTCTGGGGGCTGGAACTAATTACTTGTTTGTTTGTTTTTTTGTTATTTTTAATGTTAAAAATGGAATCAAGATACAAGCGGATTGATATACGAGTGTTGTTGTGGAATGGATTAAACTCGTATCTTGAAGCCCTACGGTACAGCTAAACACTAGAGCACATTGCCACTGCCAGGTAATTAATGCCATCCTGTTTGTTATAAATTTAGAAATGTTCTGAGCCACAATCATAACATTGCACCAGGTTTCTGGGGTAACAACAGGGGGCAGCATAACCAGTCTGTGTTTTGTAACAAATGTTCCTGACTGAGGTGAAGCCCGAAAAAGTTCACATCTGGGATATACTGTATAGGGGACTAGTCTGTAAACTCCATGTTAATACTGGATTTCACCAGTGTTTACACTAGCATTTGTTGCTATGAGTCTGGGTCAGTCTGCTTTGTGCCCTGTTTATAGTGAAGTGAGTCTCCATTGCTGCATTTGGGTCCTGTCTGCTTCCTGCCATGTTTTGATTTCCGAAACAAACAGCTAATGCTACTAATGCATTAAATCGGTTTACTCAAAAGGTTGTGCAAAAAAAAAAAAAAAAAAAAAAAGGTGAGGGTACCTTCATTTTTGTCCAGGCCAGTTTATTTATTGTTTTTTTTGTTATTATTATTAAAAAGCAGTGTCTCATTTTCATTGGATAATGTTCAGATTTTCTTTATTATTATTACTTTTTGTCCGTTTCAAGTTTTTTCAGTGACCATGCTGGTTTTCCTTTTATACAGAGGGTTTTTTATTTTACCATGTGTATATATACATAGACACACACATACAATACATAATGTATGTGCTTGTGATGTCAACTGTTTTTATGTCTGTATTTAAGGGGAAAAGACTGTTTAAAATAGATAGATGGATAGACAGATACAGTAGATAGATAGATACTAGCCTAGTCATCTCGACCTCAATAATAGTAGTAGTAGTAGTATTTATAATATGGGGGGGCACTAGTGGCTTAGTGGTTCAGGAAGCGGACTTGGGTCTGGAGGTTTTCAGGTTGGAGTCCACCAGCTGCCAAGTTACCACTGAGGTGCTCTGAGCATGGCACTGTCCCCACACACTGCTCCCAGGGAGCGTAAAGCTGCCCACTGTTTACTTTGTTGATGGGTTAAAAGCAGAGGTCACATTTCGTTGTGTGCAGTGATGTGCTGTGTCACAATGACAAGTACAGTAGTTCACTTTCCTTTCCTTTCCCTCCTTATAATCAATATACGTATAATTATAAAAGCATTTACGTGAACAAGGTTTAAATGGTTAAATAAACAGTTAGCTTTAGGCAGTTCCAGCAGATATAACAGTGTATGAGGTGTATTACAACCAGATTTATACAACTATTATTTCTAGGAGATACTATACATAATATTGGATAGGGTAGATAGTTATATATACACATGCGCAATACCCATAGATACATTAAATATACACACACATATACCTACCACCTACACACAAATATGCTCTTGTGAGGTTGCTTTTGTCGTCACAGCGTCGCGCGCGCGCGCGCGCGCACACACAATGTACTTCCCATTTATTCCTGCCCTTGCCTTCGTTGAAAAAGAAACTACTGAAAGGGCTTTTACAACTTTAGTCACGCGTCATGAGCTTCCGCGAAAACCGCCATCTCGTGTGTCGTCGTACCAGGAAATGCACTGTGAGTTGCTGTAAATCAACCACACACAATAACTGGTTCCTGCGTTCTTTCTACAACATGTCAGCAAGTGTATGCGCCTTCGTCCTAACGCTGTCAGCGCTGAGCGAAGCCACAGGTATTTTTTTTAAAAACTTGTTTTCGATTATTTCAAATGTCAGATAAATAGCTATTCACTGGAAGTGTGTAGGCTCCTCCTCCGTAGACTTTCTTGTGTTTATCAAACGATAAGTCCACCTGCTGAAAGATGCTGTCGTTTGTTTTTATTTGTTTTTTTCTCTGTCTCCAAGAAAAGTAAAAGTGAAAGGTTAGCATATAAACGTTTAACATATAAACAGTATATGTAGCAGTTGTGACCAGCGGTCAAGGGCTCTTAGTCTCATGAAACACAATAATGAGTACCTTTAGGTAAATGTGACAGAGCAGTTGTGTTTCCATTCTTTATTTGTCACCTGTTGACCACTGAACTTTACCAAGAAAATGTGTTAGGGGCTCCTGCACCATTGTGCTACGTTGGGTTTGTGCAGGCTTAACATTTAATTATTTTGCGTTAAGTTAAATAAAGTGACACACTGTTGCCTAATATGAAATTAGGACCTCTCCGCATATACAACAACAAAAAATTACAAATGTGCGCGCTAACTTACATGTATGAATGATGAATTATGTCCTTTTTAAAATGCTTGGATGTCGCTGTGTAACAGATTTCAAAGGATGTAATGACTTGCTGTCTTACATCACTGTCATTTGACTGACATCACTGCCACCGAGGTCTGCTCTGGTGCAGTGTAAACAACTTATTTGATTGGCTCAACTGAGTAAGGCTATTGTTGTTATAACTGAAATAGCAGTGCCTGCTGTCCATAGCTGCGACCGTATGAAAAAATGCACCATGAAATTGATCTTATCTCACAAAGTGATTGGTCACAGGTCCGGAAAGAACCATCACTCAGTCTGCCATTTGGTTTTTAGAGCCATATAAGGGCAACTTTATTAGCCGCGTCCTCGTAACATCTCGCTTATCTTTTAATGCAGAATGCTTGGTCTCCATGTGGCCGAGCAGTTTTGAAGGCTTCATTGCCTCCTTAGAGAGCCGTTTGCTGCATATTTTGCAGCGTGGGCTCGGTCCATGGGAATAACCTGTCACAATAAATCCATATTTTAAGTAGGTCTCCTGGAATTGTTTGTTAAATGCAGCTTTCTTTTTCTTTGAAGGCTCTTCCAAAGGAATTTGTTTTTTGCTAGCATGAGGGTTTCAATTTAGCGGTAATGTATTGAGTGTTACCAGCCACAGCAGACCCTTTAAGAAGGAAGTGGATGTAGGTAAGATGTGACCATGGCAAGCATCTTGACATGCATCAAGTGTGAGTCATAGACATCAATTGACCCAGCTCCATGAACCAGGGGCTGGGTATCACTGCGGTTCATCATGCCAGGGTGGTGATGTC